TTCAAGAAAGAATGTTGAATTTTGTGAAATGTTCTTCCTGAGTAAAATGAGAGACCTGTGTGGTATTTTTCCTTCATTCAACTAATATGGTTTATTATATTGATTGACTTTTATACGTTAATCCACACCTATAGATCCCAAAACAAATCTTAGTTGATTATAGTGTATAATCCTTATATTACACTGTTAAATTTGGTTTGCTACTATTTTGCTACTACTTTGTTGAGGGTTCTTTTAAAGAAAAAACAAAATATATCTACTCTGCTCTTCTCTTTACTCCTTTATTTTCTTCTCATTGTTCAGAGCCAAAGAAAATATTTGTGTATTTTTTCACCATTTTCCCAATGTCTGCTTAAATAAAGAGTGTCCAAACCACCTAGAGATGATAGAAAACTATAAATGGTAAATGCTATTCTTATCAAGCTATTCTGTCTTAGGCTTTCCAACCCTTTTGTCCATGAGAAAATTTAATAATGCTCATTCACAATAGGTTCTTCTTCCTCAAAGAAGAAGGGAGTAAGGGAAATAATGTTCATGGGTATTTCAGCATTCAACATGGGCGAATCAGAGCCTCAGACACCCCAATAGAGTGTTTTTATAGACACTAGCAACCTTTTCATCACCTGAAGCCTTTTCAAATCCATTCCTATCTTAAAAGTTTCCAGAGAAGGTTTTTTTCTATGGATAGCAAGACTTGGGAAATAATAATTCTGTGGTCTTGTTCTGTAGCCATAATGTCTTCTAGTAATTGGGTCAGGGGAATATAAATTATTCATGGAAACCAGATAGAGTCAGTATGGCAGACTAAACTGACTCAGAGAGAACTTTCCAAATGCATAGAAATGCTAGGTGAAATATGAACAAAGAAAGCCTTTCAATACAAATTACCTTCAAAAGAACGACAAGGAAACCTAGGTAGAAATGGAGAGACATCAAAGCCAGCAGGATAAGAAGGAGCTAAAGCCAAGAAGGCTGCAGAGGGGTATCAGACATCATAAAAGGTTCATGGGTTGAAGGCTCAAGGATTAATGTAGGGAGAGGAGGTAAAACTGAAATCCCGTGTGAGCAAGAACAGAACCCTATACATAAAGCTGCAAATTTTGAGGACAGCAATTTTAATGAAACAGAAACTAGAAAAATTGTACTCACAAGATTAACAAAGCAGAAATAAGTCATACTACTATGCACCCAGGGAAATGGTTAGAAGAATTATCCACTAGAAACTGAAAATCCACATTTACATGTAAGGTCCAATTTTAAAGTATTCCCAGTGTTACAGCAACTAAGCTAACATAATATTATAAAAATTGAGACCTAACTCAGGACCCTGGGAAAGAAAAGGAAAAAGATCATTGTAGAATGATGCTATAAGTAAAGCACACACAGTAAATGAATCGCAATAAGAGTTGTTGTATGACACAGATACTTTTAAGCTCGCAAGAATTGGAGGTACACAGAGTGTCTGAAAGAATCTGGAAGAGTGATAAAAGAGGATGTGGAAATCAAAGAAACCAAGGCTAAGATTGGAAGAAAATAAATTTATAGACATAAAAGGGTAGTAATTGAAACTTTAAAATGTTGAACAGTTTAAAAATAAATGAAGCCAAGCAGTGAATAGAAGGAAATAGAAAATGTGGTGGAGATTTAAAGATGCGGCAGAATCATATATGTATGCATTTAAGTACATACATATAAATGAAGCTCTTAAACAAGAAAAAGAATAGGAAAGAGGCAGTATTGAAAGTGTTTTCCATAAGTAAAGGCAAACAAACCCTCAGGTTATTGTAAGTTTTGAGATCTGAACAGCTGAACAAGATATAAAAACATATTCACACTTACTCAGACTAAGCATTATTATGAAACTGCAGAACATCAAAGACAAAGGGAGTCATGGTGAAAACAGCCAGAAGAATAAGAGAGATAACCTGCAAAGAACTAGCCTTCTAAATGGGTCGAGAAAACAAAAGAAGCTACAATGAAAACATTATAAACTGGAGACATGAAATATATCATTCAGACATATTTTAAAACATGCTTATGCTGTAATCTTGAATACTTAACAATATAGATAACAAAAGCCCCAAAATATGAACAGATTATTTGTGTTGTTATAGTAGAAAAGAGAACAGTGGGATCAAAGAAGAACATAAGAGGACTTTATATTTGTGATTTTATTATTTTGTTAAAGTCTGTAGTCATTCTCACAGCAGGCCCACTCCTGACATTTGTAGGACTTGGTGCAGGAGTGCAAATGGAGACCTGGTGCAAGTACGTGTAAGTACGTGAAAGCTGAAAGTCTCATTGACATACAGCTACAGACCTTGATTAACTTACCTCAAAAAACCGAATGTGTTGTGATTCCTAGATCCTCTGGGGGTCTGAACCAGTTGACCTGTGCACCTTTCCTCCCATCCCAGCCCCTACTCTGTGCTGCACTGGGAGGGTTTTTGCATGTATGTGAATGGAAATCCCAGGGCACTAACTCCATGCAGAAAAAACCCCACCGAAGTAGAAGTGAGGACATTGGCTATAAGGTCTAATTCTAGGAAGATAAATCTAGCCAGGAAGTCATGATAGCATTCAATGCCATCTTGGGTCCCAAATGCCTGGGATGCTGAGCAGAACTGTGCTCTGGATGGACACATCTCCTAGACCCTATGAGCCCCTCAGCACATGTCGTGAGGGAAACAGAGTAGGTCCCTTTGAAGACTTGGGTCAAAGGGGTGGGGCTTACCATTTGCTAAAGCTGAGTTTGTTGATGGGCAGTCACTCTACTAGTTCCTGGCTATTTCTATATATTTGGAATATTTCCTTTTTTTAAGAAGGAGAACAGCATTACCATTCTACAAGTTATTAGGGACATCTTCCCATAGGCAAGGGTAGGAACACTGTTAGTAAAACATCCTGTGACCAGTTTGATTTGGCATGGCTGTGTCTGTGGTTCCTCACCTGGCCAGTGAATGGTAAGATGCTAATTTTAAAGGTTTCTCCCAGTGCTATGGTTCCATGAAGTTTTTATAAATTGCCATTCCCAGGAAAAGCTTCTAGACCTGAAATATTAGAAGAACCAAGAATGGCAAAAGAGGGAAGCTGTGGTGGCAGGAACCAGCCCTGTACCTGCCCCCTAGGTTATTGGGGAAAGGGTGCCTGCATAGACCCACAGCCCACCATGTAGGATCCAACTGGCAAAGCTGCCTGGGGGAGCTACAGCCCCACCTTGGGAACCCACTGTGCCCTAAGAAGAGCCCTCCATATGGAAATCATGGCCAGTGCAGGGTCAGACAAGGAAGACAGGCCCAGAGTTACACCTCCACATCCTGAATCCAGCCAGCACAGAGGTGTGCAGGTGTCCAGACATCAGCCGCACACTCGGGATTGTGCACTCACGGGCTCACTCGCCTGCTGCCCTTGTGGCCTAGAGCAAATGCCCATCAGGATCCACTGAGATTAATTTGGTCCATGCAAGTAAAACCTCTGAGAGGGCAAGAAAAGCTAGTGTGAAGGGGTAGAAAAGTTGTTTTCCTCATCAACCATCAGACATTTTGCCAAGCTCAGCTAGCCGAAGTTCACCCTTAATTGGTGATGAATTAAACACTGTCATTTCAACCAAGAAAATCATAAAGTGCGTTGTTTGGAAAACCCAAGTATGAAATGAGCTTCAGCTCCTAGAACTATAGTATACTCAAGGCTCCTGTTCTTTTGGAGGTATTTGGGGGGGTGGGGGAGCTGTGACCTGACTACAGTCATGTGGGTGTCCTCCTCCAGCCTGAGGCTAACAGTGAGGAAATAGAGGTAAATAGGGGGTGCTGGAGACTGCAAGCAACTGCACCTCCTTAAGCAACTTCTTTGCCCTCAAGTTTCTAGTTAGCAGGTGGCAGGAAGTGTGTTAGTGGAGGGGTGTATCCACTTATCAGGGCTGCCATAGCAAAGTACCACTGACTGGATGGTTTCAACACCACAAATTTATTTTCTCACAGTTCCTGAGGTAAGAAGCCCAAATCAAGGTGTTGACAGGGTTGGTAACTCAGAGACTCCTTTATGCCGTGTAAATGGCCACCATCTTCCTCCACCCTCACATGGGTCTCCTTCCTGTGCGTGCCAATGGCCTAATCTCATTTTATAAAGACACCAATCAAATTGGATTAGAGCCCACTCTAATGACCACAATTTGACATACTCACCTTTTGAAAGACCTTATATCCAAACCCAATCCCATTCCGAGATACTGGAGAGTAAGATGTCAATGTGCAGATTGTGGAAGGGACACAATTCAGCCCACAACAGAGGTTGTTGGCACACACTAGCACACCAGAAATCTCTTTAGGAGAAAGCAAAGTAAAATACTGATAGTAAGAAATCAAAACACATTGGCTCACAGGGCAGTTTTTAAGCCCACCCTTCAGATTTACAGAAACACCAGCTGTCCTCCAGGATAGCTCGCTATTTCTTCAAAGCAATTGTGACTGTGGAGAAGAACATTCCAGAAAAGGGAGGAAGGGCTCCTAATCTTTGTACTTTAGAAGAAAACTCACCTTGTTTTTCTTCGTGGTTCAAAATACACATTAGGTTCTGCAGAAAACACCTGACTCTTGCCTTGGATGGTTCACCATGGCACAACAGCACTGCACACCGGCTTGAGGCTTTTAAGTCATTTACTGTAGAAACAGATGATTCTTTGCAAAAGCATTCTGGGAAGCCAAGGCTTTGCCTGGTATGAAAGGGCACTTGTGGTACACTTCTGTTAAGAGGAAGGCAGGGTTGAGAGGCGTTATGTACAGACGGGCTGAACACAGAGCCTTTTAGGAGAGGGGGCAGTGCACTCAAAGTGTCAAGATAGCATCTACTGTAAATAATGGGGCAGCTTGTGAAATTGGACGTTTTTCTGGATGGGGGAAAGCTTTTCTTCCTGTCTGTTTTATTTTACAACCTGAAGTCATTCAGCGAGTACCTTTGAGATGTGTGTGTGTGAACTAGAGACTGACTGTTTGATTTGCCCACAGGATGAACGAGCGTGACCGCCTGTTAAAGCGGCTCAGCAGGAAGACGCCGCCCACGCTCTTCCGGGGCAGCTCTCTCCAGCAGAGTGTCCCCCGTAAGTAGTCCCTGTGTCCAGTGCCCACTACCCACTGCGGTCAGAAGACCCCCGACTCATACAGGGCGAGCAGGAAGCTTAATTAAAGCATGGGTAGTGCTAATAGGGAAAGAGACAGCTGCCAAGCCAGAGCCCCACATTGGAAGTGGAATTCATGTATTTGGCCCGAGGCAAGTACAGCTTGAAGGTAGGTAATTCCCTTGGACCCAATCAGATGCCTGAATGACAAAATCCTTAAACTTAAAATCCTGATGTGGTTAAGATCCTCCGTCAGCCTCCCAATAGGTTTTCCAGGGTTGATATATTACTTTTAAATTGTTTCCCCCAAAGATAAAAAGATGCACTGTTTTATTTAATATTAGCATATTAATTAAAACAATGACCGTCACAAGGGGGGGGGGATCCCCTGTGTTTTTCTAAAGAAGGCCCCTTCATATCTAACTCTGGTGTCCACACTTTGAACACTAGATGCCTGGTCTGATTCCTGCTGAAGGGGCCTGACCCAAGCAAGGGACTATGGGATGCACAGAACACAGGAGAGCAGAGGTCAAAAGGCTATGAAAGGCAGATGGGGTGATGGAGCTCACTGGCAGTTTGTGGGCTTCTGTTTTAGCAGTCTAGCCATTCGGATCCCAGCTAAGGAGTGTTGTGGAAGCTAGATTTCCTTTGTTTGGGTGGTTTGCCTTCCCCAGGGCTGAGGACTGTTGGCATGAGGTCTTCAGGCCCCTAGGTGTGCCTCTCTGAACCCCAGTTCTCTCCAGCATGTACTCCCCCTTTATGCACATGCATGTAGTCTCTAGGTGTGCCTCTCTGAACCCCAGTTCTCTCCAGCATGTACTCCCCCTTTATACACACACATGTAGTCTCTTTCATTCTTTACTTCTTGCTTTCTTTTCCTGTCTTGAGGAATTAAGATGAAATGAAAGCACTAGGGAAAGTAAAAAAAACTTAGTGTTCTGAGGTGTCTGTCGGGTTTTAAGAGATGTTATGTTGAGTTCATTTGAGCTCCACCTGTAGTGGATCTTCACAGACTTTCCCAATGGAGAGAGGAGGAAAGGGTGGAGATCATTGCAGTCAGAATCCCCTCTCCTCACTTTCCCATGTGGAATGTCAGTGTGGCATGGGGGGACAGAGGCCAACGCCAGGTAGGGTCTCCTGTACCCTGTATGTTTTAATTCCCCACCCCCAAGGAGACAACCACAGAGTACCTTGTAGGAGCACTGGTCAGTACAGTACCGGCCAGGTGACACCTGGGGAGTCTGGATGGCATCTGAGGTCTTTTTGTCAGAAAGGTTGAGACAGAAGGCTTGATGAGTAAGTCCAGGAGCAAGGTCTCTAAGGCCCTGCCTTTAGAGTTGGGCTGCCTGAAGTCCATTCTGGTGGCTTTGGTGAAGTTCCTGAAGCCCTCTTTTCTACATCTGTCAAGTGGAAATGATAGGAGACTCTGCCTGGGTTATTGGGAGGGTTTAATGATATCATATATACAAGGGGCCAGAATGGTGCCTGCAAGTGTGAAGTCCTGTAAATATCAGGTTCGTCCTCATCATCACCTCCGCTACTTCACCACTAATTGTTTAACTGGGAAATTTACTAACTTTTCTAAACTCACATTTTCTCCTTTAGGAAAATGATAATCTGCTTCTTTTACAGTCTTTCTGAGGCTTCATGATACATGCAAAGTTCCTTCTCTATGCTGGGCACAGAGAACACATACCAATTCCCTAAACGGGAGAGTTCATATATGGAGCTATATTGTTACCCCAATAAATGTTCCCAAAGAGTCAGAGAAGTGAAATATGCTACATACATACACAGTGAGATCACAGATCAAGTGAGTTCTGTGAGGGAGTTATAAATGTTTTGAGACAGCTACTAAATTTTTTTTAAGATTATTTGTGCATACAGAACTGGGGTACAAGCTAGAGGTGCAGGGGCAGTGAGAGACTTCACCAGAGACAGAGTGAGGAGCAGAACAGGCAGATCGACGAAGTACACTGCTGAGGGGAGCAGCAGGCAGGTCAGGAGAGATCTGCCACGCCATGTGGATCACCTCAGGAGCAGGGATCAAACTCACACTGAAGCGGCTATGCTCTCTGGCAGTGCTGCGTCCTAACCTGCTGCGCCACCACGGAGGGCCCCTAAATATTTTTTTAACTCAGTATTTTGAAGGACAAAAAATATTGAGCATGTGTAAGAAATCAAAAAGATTCTAAAAATCACAGCATGTTTTAAAATCTCGGTAACTGGTAGGAAGAACTTAGAAGTTTGAATGTTTCTGATATTAACAAATACAGAAGGCTGTAAGCAGACATTCTGCAGAGCTGTACCAGCTCTGTGTGTTCCTCCTGGGGCCTTCCTTCAGCTGTCTTGGGTCTCAGTCTTCTGAAAAAGCTAGAAAGAAAAACTTAAATCTAATCTTGACAGTACTTTTAGTTTCTCCTGGCCAACACACGGCATTTGTAACTGAGATCATTGTTTTCTACAGAGCACCATTTCCCTTTTCTTCTATGCTCTTCCCCATTTCTCTTACTATTTGAGGATCCTTTTCCAGACAAGAAACTGCACCTTTCATTAGATACTATCAGAGCTCAGATTCAAAGAAAGACTACTTAAGGGCTTTTTTTATTTCCAAATAATGAAAAAAGGTTATAATTTTATGGATTTCACCAAATGTTCTCCCAGAAAGACTGTAGCAGAAATTGATCTACTCTTCCATCTCCTGCCATGGGTCCCATATGAGAAAGCTAGCCAGGGACAGTCTCAAGTTGGGTCCACTGAAATGTGCTTTCTTCAGGCCCTATCATTACATTCCTACTGTGAGGACTTCCTAAAAGATTAATGAACGTGCTCATGCAAAAAGCTGGAAGTTTCCTCTGAGCTCCCCATTTGGATACAAATGGCAGTTAAATGTTCATTAGGAAAAGCTGGTAAACTGATCATGCATCTTTGTCAGGCTGAAGGGTACAAGCAGGTGTTTGGTGGGAGTGATTATGGTCCTTCTTGTCCCACTAAAACTTCCGTCATGGCTGTAACTCCCATCAGGCTTAGATTCTGAAAGGATGATATTTTATCTGAACCAGGGAGACACCCTTGCCCCCAGGGGAGAATTCTACCAGACCATCTCCTTTTTGTTTTTCAACTGCAAAGTCCTCTTTAAGTCTCAGTTGAAGTTAAGAAAATATGAGTACACAAAAGTTTGAAAATAAGATGTTAGACGCTCTCGTGGGGAATGCTGAAACACCCCTTGGTAGTGACCTCTGGGTGCCCTGCTTACTCTGGGAAAGAGATTTGCTTCCTGGACTAGAAGTTCTCTCTGCCTTCTCTTCTAACGCACACCTTGAGACCCTTCCCAGCCAGAGTCCCAGCCCCAGTAAGGCCTTTACGCCAGGGAGGCAGATATAAGCCGAGGCAAATGTAGCTACCAGCTGAAGAAACAGTAGGCACAGGAAGGATATGAAGGAAAAACAGAGTAAATAAAAGTCAGGCTTTTGCTCTTTTCATTTGAACAGGGAATAGACAATTCCAAATGGCTAGGATAGCTTTCCCCAAAAGGACATACTCAATGTTTATTTTTCATTTCTCATTAAATCTTCCTCCCTCCCTCAGTCCCTTTACTTCTCTCCTCAAAACAAACAAACAAACAAACAAACAAAAAAACACCATTGGTAGCAATTGTTCTATTCGGACTGATGGTTGAGACAGGCTTCCTTCTTTTCTGGCATCAAGGTAGACATCTCACCTGTTGGTGCCAAGGTAAGATAGCTCTGACCAAGGAGAGGGTCTGTGCTTAGGGTGTGGTTAGCCAAGAGAAAGCCAGCCCTGGAGCCCAGGTGGAGGCTGAGAGCTGCGAGAACCTGGGCCCCACCTGGCCCCGGCTATTTTGTTTATAAAAAAATGAACCAAGACCCAGAGATCATGGTCCCTGGGCCAAGCCATTCCTTTGTGCCCTTAGTGCTTCAGGCCCTGGGTCCAAGACCAAAAAGAAAGGAGAGAAAAAGAAAAGCCAGCAGAGCCGGCAGGGAACGTTCTCTTCAGGGTGCAGGTTTCAGTAGTCATCTCCAGCCAAGTCATGAGGGGCTCACACAAGGTAGGCCCGTTATGGACACAGAGCCATTTCTGTCCACTAGGATGGCACAGACACTGCAGGCCCCAGAGTCAGGCAGCACTGCCATTGCAGCAGCAATTTGGATCCAAAATCAGTGGATGTGTGCCCTCCCCCCGACCCCCAGGAAAACATCAGATGTTCAAGGGAAACAACCCCTTTAAGAGGGAGAGAATGAAGATTGTCCAAGTTAACCGCAGTATACAACCTTATTACTGCAGGAGACAGTGTTATTTGCTAGACTTTGCTTTGAAACATCTCAAGGAAAGGTGTCTGCTCTAGGAATGCAATAAAAACAGCACAAAGAGCACCCTGTGCCTGGACGAGCAGTGGCTGCAAGGCAAGGAGGCAGGGCACCAACAGCAAGGGTTTCCTCTTCTCTCGTGATCTCAGATCAGGCATCTCAGGAAATTTGAAAGCTCTCAGGGAGGCAAAGGTGAGAGGAGGTGTTTGCTCTTTAGATCCCAGGAAGCCTCTAAAGCCGAGACACTCAAAGCAAAGCCGCCTTGTGTGGAGTGAGGAAGTTCAAGTGCACTGGCTCCAGCCCAAACTGGAGCCAGCCAGCAGCAAGCACTTGGCACCCTCAGCACCTCCCTCACCAGACATGTTCCTGCTCAGGGACACCATCTATGCTGCACCCAGCCACACGGGCCTCATACTGGCCCGAGGGCTGCCACATGGCTGGGTGGGTTTGATTTTGACTTGTGGGCCAGTTGACAAAAGTCTCCAGGTCTGTCACCTCTCTGCTCTTCAGGCCCACCCTTCCCTCCAGTGGCTTCTCTGCCATGCCCTCCTCCCTCCTGCCCAGCCCAAGTCCTCTGCTCTGCCGCAGACAGGCCTCTCCTCACAGGTGTCCTGCCCACACCCCTTGTTCTCTCAGACAGTGGCTGGAAGGCCTGCTCTCTGGAAGAGCTGGGAAACCAATCCAGGGTCAGAGAAGTCACCCTTGAGCATCTTCTCTAGAAGTCTCTTCCTTTCTCCATCCCCATGAAGACTGTTCTGCATTGCATTCCTTTCTACTCCAGAAACTCTCCTTTTAAAAGCAAAAATCTCAGTAAAATAACTAACCACCAGGAGTTGAACATGGCACCATCTCTGCTTGCTTTTTCTTGCTGTAAAGCCGATGACAATGAATGAACAGCTCCTTTGAAAAGCCACGAAGCATGGATGGGAGTCAAAATTGTTAGGCTTTTTACTGTGTTGTCTTTGGGTCAGGATGTCTAACCAAGCTGTGGGACGTTTTTATATTCCCAGCCCAGAAGGTTAACTGACAGAGAGGGAGTCTCATGAATGTTCCTTCTGTGGGAAGGAAAGAAAGCGCCACTTTGGCTCATGAATGCTGAAGCTTTCTCCGAGCTGGAGATGCAGGAGAGCCTGGGCGATGCAGTCACACGCCTAACTCTGCCTCTCACGAGGTCTCTGGCCCTGGGTAAATCAGGAAATCACCTTGTTCCTCAGGTTTCCCATCTGTGAACTAGGAAGAAGGCTATCACCTACATCACAGGGTTGTTGGGAAGAATAAATGTGCCGTGTGTATAGTGCATAGCGCAGTGCCTGAGATGCGTAGGCTTTAATAAACGTTGGCTGTTGTTATTGCTGTCACCCATCATTTTTATTATGACAGATTCAAACAGTATGCCTTCCTGTGGCCATAGGACCAATCACTAAATCCTCTTGATTTTATCTTGTGGTCATTTTATTTACACAAAATAAGCCCACTCCATTTCTTACTGCCTGTCCAAGTCAGCCCAGTGGAGTAACAGGAGCCCTCCAAGAATCATCCGCACCTCGCAGCTTTCACTACTAGCATCATGTGTGTGCTGCCTGGCATGCTTACTGCATCATAAATTACCCAGCCAGTCTGCAGCTTCAGGCAGACTGGGACACTTCTGGGGCAGAACAGCTCACCTGTCCGCTGACTGGTGGTGGGAGTGTGGCAGCCTGGGCCAGTGACCAGTGTTTATGTTCGGCGGACCAACGTCAGATGCAGAACCCAAAGTAGGAAGCTGCTTCTGTGAGCCGTGTCCTCTGAGTCTCAGCTTCAGCAGCCAGAACCTTGGAGGCTGTCCAGTCAGGCTGCATCCTGACACCACACCCACACTTTGCCCACTTGCCTCTGAGGGGCCCAGAGTCAGGCCTCCAATGCTGTGAGGTGGGTGAGGCCACGGCGTCACGGCTTGGCACCATTGACCCAAAATGCAGCTTCCGGTAAAGCTGCTGTGCTCCTGGATTCTCCTCCTAACCTGCTCCTCCTGTTCCTTCTCTTTCAGATGGATATGCCTTCTCTCAAGAAGAGCATGGAGCTGTTACTCAGGAAGAAATAGTCCGTGCTTATGACACTACCAAAAAGAAGTCGAGGAAGAAATAAGACATGAGTTTTCCTGATTGATTCTAGGAAAGATGCGGTTTGTTGCACCCAGTGTTAACACATCTTAGAAGAGACGAGTGTTCGGCAGCCAAAACACCGGAAAACACATTTCTGTGGCCTTAGCCAACCAGTTTGTTAGTTATATATTCCCTCCTAAACCTGGAGTCTATACCGCAGGGGAAGCCATTTTTTTTCCCCCTTCCAATTTGTCTGCAGTGCTTGGCCTAATTTTTGTTTATGTTGTTACGAAGCATTCAACTGTGCTCTCTGAGGTGTGAAATTAAAAACATTATGTTCCACCAATATTTAAACATCAGTACTAGTTGTTCTGGGAGAAAAGTAAAAGGGTTTTATGTTGCGTGAGAAACCTATCTTGTGGAATTGTAGTGGGCACACACTGACTTCCTGTTTTGTTAACACAGATTAAGTCCACTGGGCAGCATGTAAACTTCACTTTAGGCAAGTTGCCGCCTTGCTTTGATTCCTATTTTGTTTGTATGAGGTCGGCATAAACTTCTTGATTGCAATGAAATCACAAATAAGTAAACGTGATGGTAAACGTGAGGACATTTATTTGAACCTCCTAGCCACATCACTAGCAGAGCAGGCAAATGGTGTTCCAAGAGTCTTTGCCCCTCCCAGGGGCTCTCTGGCCCCTCACCCCAGCCCTTCTGCATGGCTGGCCACTGTGCCCAGAGCATGGCAACTGGTGGGCAACCAACCCAAACCTGCACTCACCCCTGCTCCAGAGAAGGATGCCAGAAATCCCTTCTTCCACCACCCTTTTCCTTCTATAACTACAGAGAAGAAACATAGCTCTTCTGCATATATTATAAATATTTATCTGCCTCTTTCTACTGACAGGGAAGTCTTCAGGTCAGGGTGGAGACAGAGCCATCTGGGCACCCTTTGCCCTGGTCTGCTCCTCAGTGCCCATTTCCCACTGTCCCAACCACTGGACCTTTGGTCTCCGCTTTAATTAGAACTCACGCTTGTGTTCTTGGCATTTCAGAGCATATTTTGGATTTTCACTGTTGGGAAACGAATGAATGTATAGCCTGTCTTCTCCATGACCAATCGTACCTGTCCCTGTAGCCCTAGAATCAGGAGTACATGCAGGTGGTGGACAAAGGGACCCCAAGGGTTGAGGGGGCAGATGACCTTCGAAGTGGAAAGCAAGAAGCAGGGCACAGAAACACTGGGAGGAGAACAACAGAGGACAGTTTCCCCCATCTCCTCAGTAGAAACTGAACACACGCCCTAAAGTACTGACAGCTGCCGTGAGCAATCTGCTATATCCAGAAAGTTAAACATGATGTTGACATCCAGTTTTAAAAGAATTGACATCCAGTTGAAAAGAATTCCAAACATTTTAAGAAAATGTCCTCTTCTTTATTGAAAAGGTTTCCTTTCTTTATAGTCAGTGTTAGGTTTAGGTACCTCTAAACCCAAAATGTCCTGAGTCTTAAGGCCAAGAAGGGAAATGCTGAGTCACCGACTGTGGAGGATGGATTCCCACCTAAATTTGGACAGAACCAGGCTGCCTTTGGGCATGAATGCGAGCACCTGGAGCCCTTAATAAACCACCAGCCCGGAGGCTCTTTCTCTCCTCTCTGCTTTGGTTGCCAAATCAGATTTTGGGAGAGCTTAACATAAATACTTCTGGGCAGCTGTTAGTGGTTAAAATGGCACAGTCCCTCTAGGAATGGCTGTGCTAAATTAGGAACTAAAACAATAGTGTACTTGGCTTCCTGGCTCTTTGTTTTCAGAGTATCCCTCATCTTATTGGGCAGTGAAATAATTTGGCATGTGATGCATTGACTGGGAAAACTAACCCTTCACTTACAGGTGACTCTGAAATGAAGAGAGCTTGAGGGAAGCAAGCCATGCAATTAACAGGTGAGACTCAGAAAAATTGTCATTCCTTCCTCCCCAAGGTGATAAAACATTTTAAATACCAGAGAACCCATCAAGGTGAAACGCTGAAGGACTGCCATGCAAGGATTACGGTCTCCCCCCCGAAAAAAAAATCTGACTATAATTAGCAAAGCAAGGTATATGTCTTTATTGCACACCTAGAAAGATGGCTTAAATGCAGAGAAAAAAATTAGAACTGAATGTGCATTAGGCATCCTGGCTATTTGATTTCATTTGGGAACTAAGCCTATTTATAGAAAAGAATCACACTCAGGTTGTTTTTCTGTTTTGTTGTTGTTTTTGTCAAGGACTTAGCTCTTTCTTGAAACCTTCTGAATTAGATTTGTTAATTACAATGTGTATGTTCTGTGTTTGGGCCTTCCTATTTTTATCTTATTTTGTACATTAAAATATCATTCACATTTTCTGGGATTTAATTATATTTCCCAACTTTTTTGAAAAGTAGATTAAACAGCCTTTGCAGTAACATGCACACAACAGAAGACATTAGAACAGATGCCTTTCTATTTATTCTTTCATGCAATGAAGCCATCGTATGGCCAAATGACTAAATTGGGCTTCTAGGAGGAGCAGCTGTCACCACGTGTGATGAATAATATTTAGCCAGGCCCGACTCCAGGGCTGTGTGATTTGTCCTATCTTTAAATTGAGGTCAGTGTCACACACACACTCTCTCCCCAGAGAGGAGGGGAGACTGGACTAAGTTGCATGCTCTGGCTGTCATTTCAGTGAAAATGCCCATGGGACTTGTCACTATGCCATACAGTAAGTGACACACAAGCTGGCAGGTCATACCCGGTCAGCACTCCATGGCCTGACTCAAAAGTGGCAGAATCCACTGAGGTGCGGTCCTGGTCTAGTATTGCAGTCACAGTGCCAACTCGGGCTTGAGTTTCCCATTCCAGCTGACACTGCAGAAGGAAAAGACCAGCTATTTCGTGTGTTTGGTCTGAATTCAGCTACTTGCTGGCCCATGTCAGCAAGGGTGGCTGTGGAAAGTACACCTCGAGAAGAAAGGGTGGGAGAGCAGAATAAACCATTTCTGCTTGGCTGTCTGGATTAGCACTCCACTGCTGAGCAGAATGGACTTTGAAATAAATTTGGGATGTCTCCAGGCAAAATATTCCAGGCATCATAACCCGTGTCACATCCTCCCATCTTCCAACACACATGCAGACGTGATGGCCTTTTCTGGGTAGTATAGCACACAAAACCTGTGCTGGAGAAAGCAGAAGCTATTTCTTTAACACTCACAGAGTAATAGCCTAGACCGTGAACCCAGCTTCAGCAGAGCAGGCTGAGAACTCTGTTGACATTTTCTTTTCCTTGACAAGGCTTCAGGTCTTGCTGTAGGGAACTGGCAGTGAAAATCAGTAATAACTTGTCAAGAAGCAGTGAATAACGGGAGGAAAATGTGAGTATAGGTAACTAATGCCTGAAAATGCATATGTACGTATATATTACAGGTTTTAAGGTTGAATTTTTAAAAAGGAACGCTATAGTCTATAATCTCCATTTGTTATAACAATGACTCTTTATCTTATTTTTTTTTTTTTTTTGAACCACGAACAAGAGAATTTTCTATCATATGCCTTTTCCTAGGGATTTATGTCTTAAACCATAAGTTGAATAGAGTGTTTGCAAAACTGTGCTATTTGGTTTTGAACATGTGAAAGAACTGCACACATTTCAGCCAGGGTTTGAATTACTGCTCAGGGTCATTGTCCCAAAGTAATTCAAGGAGTGATTTAGCTTCAGCATTTGAAATGTAGCCTTCATCTCCTGGGATCCATAAAAAATGTGAACAGGGAAACTGTGGTTAAGCAGAGCCTGAATAATAACTTGGCAGAGAAATGAGTTTTATCAGGTCGAATCAGAAGATGGTATACCTCATCATAGCCCTTAAATGCTTTCTCCATGCAAATGTTTAAATTAGCAAATAATGACAGAGATTGTGAAAATGCAGCTTTTCACCCCAAAACCCCCCAAAAAGAAAAGCAGGAATCAGTTGGCTTTGTGACTGGTTCTTCATTGGCTCAAGGCAGTTTTACTCAGTATAGCCTTGGGGGAGATAATTTAGCCTCCTACTAGCCATTTTTCCTTCTTGAAGGGCATGGAAGATGGAAGGGTTTCAGTGGATCACAGAGGTGAGATCCATAATGGCATTAAAAGTAGTCCCGCAAGGAATACACCTGGAATACTCAACTTGATGTGCTGTATTCTTCATTTATGTCTTCTCAGCATCTCAGATTGCCCAACCAAACACACTTCCATTCTCCTTCCCCTTAAAAGACGTTTATTTGATGTCAAACCTCCAAGTAATACTCTATTTAATGTGCTTTCTTAGTTTGCTGGGTATGAGTGATTTGTGAATGAGGGATGCAGTCTTCAGTGAGAAGAAAAGGCTTCTGAACCAACATAAATCTAAGTGGTCAGAAGCTACAAAACAAATGGGAAGCAAGAAAGAGGGGAAGCTCACCCTTCACCCCACCCCGAGCACAATGCAGAGCTGTTAACTCTGACAAACACCTCTGCTCCCTGACTGAGGGGAGACAAAAGAGTGATTCTTTTTATACCCAGGCTGGCTCATTTTCAAATGACAATCTCTTGCCCTCACTGCCTCAGTGATATCTGCTCTTTCTCCCAGGCATTAAACCAAGAAAAACATGCTCACAAGATTAGCCTGTAGGCATTTCTTCTGACCTGGCTAAAGAAAGAAAGGAGACCTGTTTGTTTTAAACACCAGGAACAAAGTGTCAGGTGGCTTTGATTTATGACAGAAATAGGAAGAAGAAAGTTGAGGTAATAGCACTATCCAAATAACCCTGCCCAGGAAACTTGGGGGTCAAGAGAGCTTATCAAAAAATCTTATACACAAGCTCTTCGGTGTGGAAGAGAAAAGGTCAGAAAGAGAAAAAGCCCCTTTGAACCCACTTTGCTTTGGGTTTGGCTTCAGCTGCAGTCCTAAAAACAGGTTGGCATGCAGCTACAGGTAGACTAGTCAACACCAAAAAAATTTTAATTTAAAAAGATAGTTTCTCTCTTTCCAACAAGTTCCTTGCCCAAGTAAATACTTTTTTGGTTTTTCAAACATTCCTACTGCCCCTCTCCCATGTTACCAGTGGTGACAATTCAGAAGGAGCTGTGCTGCCTCCTTCTAAGCCTCCCTCTGAAGGGCAATGCTAGGGACGGAGCCCTGCCAGCCATTCTGTGGCTGGCGTGCCTGCAGCTCCCGGGATTGCTGTTTGAATGTACTATCTTTGTGGTGTCTTTCTCAGACAAGCAAAGCCCTGTGCTCTCCTGTCCACTGTCACATCTGTGCTCAGATTGCTTAAATATTGTTTGCGACGGGGAGGTTTTAATCTGGTTATGCAGAGAGAAGCAGGGCTGTGGGGGCATGTTTAATTGGCTCCCAGCAGAGCAGTGAGCGCTTCTATGGAGTGTGGGGATTTTTTCTTCCCTCCCTCTAGAAGTGTTACCGTTTTCACGTCCTATTAATGTCCTCTGGTTGTTAAATTACAGAAGCACATTATAGTGGAGCTGGGTTCCCTCCTGGAGTGAATACAAATGAAGGGCATTTACTTGTATTTTTAGAGGTTTTGGGAAAATGTAGTGATTTGTGGCTTTGATCAATCCTGTTGACTGGTGTATGTCTGCACAAACCTGTTTCAAATAAATCTTTTGTTGAAGTAAACGATTGGACTGTGTTTTATTTGGGACTTTTCTTTCCCACTAATAAGCAGTCATTGCCACAGGGACTTCGGACTGTACCACTGAGGTTTTGTCAGCAGGTACCGACTACATATATGCTCTGCCCTGAGCGCTGATTGCCCCAATGCTGTTAAATGATAGGAGTGCAGGGGAATCTGAATTGCAGATGAACTGGAGCTCCATGTACGCCATGTATGAGACCCCTTTATGAGCAGAAGGTCCAGAGGCCATACTGAGTTTGGATTGATCACACAAGCAGAGAATTGTACATACAAGACAGTCTCTCCTTTATTACTTTACTCCCTTTGATTCTGTTCAGTTTCCCCACAAACTGAGATATGGGAAGGGGTGGGGGTGTGGGGGGCAAATTCTATTGTCAAGCATAAAATCATGGCAAAGTCACTGAAGGGGCTCAGAACATGCCCCCTCTAATGCACAGCCCTGCCATATTGATTATATAGAGGAACAGACACTTGAGAAACAGCAGGCATAGGAATGACTCTGCCCTCCTGCTCCTGCCCAAAAGCAGGTCATAAAATTTCCCACAAGAAAGGCACCCTCCCTGCACCAGGAAGAGAAAAGCATCCTTAGCACCAGCCTGGGAGTTGCTGCTGGAATGCACCTAGACTGGACCGCAGCCTCCTAAAATGACCCTGATCTTCCATTCATTCCCTCCTATGTTTCATCAACCTATAGTTCATTGCCCAAGCCCAAGGCCCTCTGCCTCGTTCTCCAGATTTGCTGTTCTTGGTGTAAAAAGGCATATAAGCATCTGAACCTAACAACTTTTGGGGTATCTTCCTTTTCTTTCCAAAGACCCCATGTACATGTAAAAATAGTAAATAAATTGCATGCTTTTCTTCTGATATTCTGTGTTAGGTCAATTCAATTCTTAGGTCAGCCGCAGTACCTTAGAGGGCAGAAAGTTTTCCCTTCCCTACATTATTTTATTTATTTATCTATTTATATATGCAAGAACTGGAGTGCAGGCCAGAGGTGCAATGGGGTGAGAGTATCAACAGAGACAGAGTGGGGAGCAGAACAGGCAGTAGTATCCACTGAAATACTACTGAGGGGAGCAGTGGGCAAGACAGGAGAGGTCTGCTGTGCCGTGTGGGTCAGCTCCCTGGCTGGGGATGGAACTCGTGCTGCAGTGGCTGCTGACAGCCTCATAGTGCTGCACGTTAGTCCCATGCCCTACCAGGGAGACCTGTCCCCTACATTATTTAGAGTGTAAAGACAACTCTGTGCTCACTCTATAGGCATCAGTCACATGCAGGTAAGCTTCTACACTGCCTCGGGGTTCCCAGACACAGTTCACACGCAGAGGCCACACTGAACCCAGTGAGGTGGGAACTGAGGGTCAGACATTGAAAACTTGGAAGCAAGGCTTCCTTTCTAGAAACCAAGCTCAACTCTGGGTCCTGCCTGTTTGGGTGACTTTGTCTGAGTGACTGTACACTTGACCTGCCTGCAGTGAGGATAAAAGATAGGGTTGGAAGACAGAAAGGGAAGACACAATTCCCTGCCAATGCTTATGTCTAGAATTCAAAAAACCTCCTAATGCCAGCTTCTAATTTACAGCAATGTCCATGGCTGACTCAGATTCCTCCCAGGTAGTCTTAGTCCCACTAGAAATGAATTTGTCTTATCCAGGGAGGTCATGGCCTTGGTGGCCCTGTCCTTACAGACACAGGAGGTGGGGTGGGGTGGGGTAGGGGGCAGATAGGAGAGGAGGCCAGGTCCCACTTCAGAGCAGAGCAGAGTTTGGAACATGGAAGGACTTCCCAGCTCTACAAAGGCTGGCATTTTAAAAAATCATGCAAAACTGAAAATGATTTAGTACAATCAACAGTAAATGGTATTTTTCAACCTTTGCCACTTTTTGGGTTGCATCTACAAAATCTGCCTTTGCTGCTACAGTGATTTTTTTTTTTTTTTGAAATGTCATCCTTCACTTATGCTCAACTAGAATAAACTTAAGCCATTGAGAGGCCATTAGCAGTTGAAGACAGTGTGCAGACCCTACATTTCTGCCTACAGCAATTTCTTTAGAATATTTTTCTCTCTAAAAAGGACTCAGAATACTTTGAAAAACCTTTCAGATTCTGCTATTTATTTCCAAAATGTTTATGCAAGATACATATATAATGTGAGGGACTGAAATGTATATCAAAGCAATAGGGTACATGCCAGGAGCCTGCTCCAGCCTCTAATATCTCCTTCTACATCCTGTTCCACATCTAAGTGGAAAGTTAAGGGAACTTTCTAGCAGTTGTTGAAGTCAAGCAGTTGTCATAACTAAGACTAAAGCTGGAGGTCTAAGACTTTGTTTTCCCAAAGTAGGAAAAAAAAAAAAAAAGCCCCCTCGCCAAAGCTAGAATCACCAAACACAGCCCAGCTCACAAACATAAAGCTTTCCTTAATTTAAAGATGGCTACACCCATGAATAAGATAGCTTCAAATTCCCAAGTGTTGGCTTAAACCTCTGTCTTCAGCTGTCTGTGTCTTTTTTGCAATGAACTGTCCTTGACTAGATTCTAGCATGATGGATGCTTAAACAGAGGGTGACAGGCTATCCTTAGAATGACAGCTTCTGCCTGAGTCTGGAATTAGAATGGTTTGTCCTGGGGTTTCTATATAATTCTTATTAGCCTTGTTTAGAACATTGAACGCTATCTGTACTCTTTCCACCACTTTAAGGAAGATGTGTTTGACTTGAAATACTTGAAAGACCGATTGTCCCACATTTAAAAATAACGGTCCTGCCTTCCCTGAATTCTGTTTGATTTCAAGCTCTTCCACTGACCTGGCACATCTCACCCAGGGCTTGGGGGGATTAGCGGATGTTGCCCTTGCCTTCCAGATGGGCTTGAACAGAGTAGCTGTCGCGCACAGGAAATGGGAACAAATGAAGCTGTTCCCCTATTTTCCTCCCAGCGTCCTTCCAAGAAGCAGCTGACAAATAATTTACAAACACGGTGGCAGGAAAATCCCTTGAATTTGCTTCATTTTTCCAACTAAAGCTGGGTGGGGGTGGAAGGAGTCAGGCTGAGAGAGACACTTACTTGTAGAGAAAGTGAAGTAACTATGGCTTTTTTTTTCGCCTCCGGCCACTAGCCTCTGCAGCCACCACCTGTGGCTTTCCACACAGGTTTTGTTGCCCACACAGGATAACGTGTTGCAAAAAGCACTTGCAAGCATGAGCACGGACACGTATGTGGTGATTGCAGACACCCGGGCCAGGACACCAGAGAGCACGGGGCGTGCATACCTAGAAGAAAAGTTTCCCAGCTGTGGGTCATAATGAGATTAGAGATTAGCAGGATTGAAAACGGAGAAGAAAACGCAGAGAGAAGCCAGAGAGCGGAGGTCACCTGCCTCCCTGCTGGCCTCCCTCCCGGGTGTGGCTGGTCTGCTGGTATCTGGCCCCTGCTTCAGCATTCAAGGTAGGTCACATTTGCCAAGGGCTCTGAGATTGTCATTTCCATTTACCCAAACCAACAGCGGACCTGTCCACCGAGGGCCTGGGTTGCCCTTACACTTGTCTATGAAAGAAACCATCTCTAAGCAAATTGTATTCATACGTTATCTGGGAAACATTTCCCCAGAACCTCACTTTCCAGTGAAGTGCTACTGACAGAACACGCTGGGAGCTGAGGGTACCGCAGCTCAGAGCACTTCTCCTTGGGTACCAGGAAGACACCCTCAGATATGCAGGATGCCAGATGCCTCTGAAACTGGGAGTGCGCACATGAGTCTGGAGCGGGGTGGGGGGGT